TCTTTTTGAAAATTCCTAGTTTTTCAGATATTTGCCGATTTCTGAAACGCTGAAAAACTAGGAATTTTCAGAAAATTCTGTAAATGCAAAGTTTTCAATCTAGGTCTGTTTTACACCCTCCAAAATTTTGAAAATGATCGGAAACTTGACAGCCAATCTCCAGCCTCCTGAAAATGGGCAAAATGGCTGAAAACTCCCTGAAAAAATTTCGGTATTGGCCGGTACTGTATCAGCGGAGTTTCGAGATAAAAATGTTGGTCAAAAACTGTCAAAATGACCGAAAATCCACCGGAAAAACCAATACCTTCCAGACCACAAACTCCCCGTTCCCATCAGCATGCACCCCTCCTCCAACACCGACGACTACTGAATCCACGACTCCAACCGTTCCACCGATTTTCGAAAAAAAGGACGGGCTGTTTAACGATTCCTCGAAGTCTCCAATTTCTTCAAATCCCCCATGCATTTGTTTCAATTGTTGGGGACCGTGGGCGGCGTCGGGAAGTTCAAAGAATTGGAGATCGCCAGACAATCTGGTGCATTCCGATGTGCTCACTGAGGATACGACGATTTATGATGGAGGTGAGAATGCTACTATTTTTTTCTACCGTAACCTAAAAATATTTTGATTTTGCGGAATTTTTATTGATTTTCTTGCGTATTTTTGAAAACTGGTTTTCCGACATTTTTTGAAGTAAAATATCAGAAAAATCGACGAAAATCAGTAAAAACCGATAAAATAAATCTAAAAATTTATAGGTTACGGTAGTTTTCGTTGTGGGACCATCGGATTGAAAAATATGATTAAAAAAAAAGAAAAAACCCCACAAGAGTTCGAACCAAAACACTTTCGCCTACTGAACAGCAGCGCTACTACTTGCGCCATCCAAGCATTGCGAACATACTCGCGTTAACTTGATCGTAAACAACATAATTTCCAGGGAAAACGACGAACTCCTCGTGCGCTACTACTATCAATGTGGTGAAAGACGTGTTGGCGTCTCCAATTAGGCCATCTCGAATTCAAGAGGAAAACTTGCTGCTGAAAAGGAAAGCGGAACTTCAGAACGAGATCATCTCCAAGCTCCTAGAAGTTGGTAACATTACGGATGAGCTTGCCCGACTACTCAGATAACTCTTTTTATTCTCTGAAAGTCGAAAATTTCGACTCGAAATTAATAAAACACGATTTTTAAAAGTTTGAACCAGTAACTGCAGTAAAGAGAAAACAAGAGTAGTCAATGCTACTAGGAAAATTAAAAACAATTAAAAAACCCGGGAAAGTGAATGGAACAAACGAGAGAAAGTGCATTAAAACTATAAAAATGAGTATTTTACAATTGGGTCAATTCACGGACTCGTTCATCCTGCTCCGCTCGTGTCGCCACCGAATTCAGGAATCCGAGATAGACCTCCTCGTCCGCTTCCGTGAGATGTGGATGGGCGTCCAACACAATCTGGGGAAGGCTCTCGAAGTGGCGAGGTCTTCTTGGTGGTGGTGGTCGTGGTGGCGATGGAGCTCGTTGACGGTGGTTTGGTTGCCACACTGCGGCTCTTCTACGGATTTCGCCCATCGGAGCATCATCGTGGAGACCCAGATTTTGAAGGAATTGACGGTTTCGTTCGTCGATTCCATTCACAGTCTCGTCGTCGGACTCTTCCTCATTCATATTTACGCCCATGTAGAGCCTCATGAGTGGTCCTTGGAGTATCTCTTCGTCTTCGTCCACCACCTGGAAAAAGAGTTCTTTGTTTTTGAAAAATTAATTTTTTCAATGTTTTCCAAGTTTTCCTGAATATCTGAGGAGTCAAAAATCCCATTTGAAGAAGATACTCACATAATTATTTAATCCAAAGTCACCATGAACTTCATTCATGTGCCCATATATTGGCCCCTGCTCGTCGGCACTGAATCCACACAACCAACAAAAATGAATGGAGCACTTCGGGCACTGCATGTGGTTGCATCCATCGTTCTTCTCTATGATCGATTTGCACTCCTTGACTGGACAAGGCTTCACTCGATCTCCGGCTTCTCGTACCCACACTTTCAGCGATTCTTCTGGTTGTTGAAGTCGTATGGCCTCCTCGCAAGTACGTCCTTCATGGACTCCGGTGAGGCATTGCCGACAGTAACGGCGTCTGCAAGCCGTGCAGTTCTTCAGATCCCTGATGTCTCCTTCTTCCTTCGTGTAGATGCCAACGCAGTCTGCAGTACTGCAGTTTTTCAACTCTGGATCTGCTGCGAGGATGGCGTCTTTCGTTTTGTGGACCAGGATTCGTAGTTTTTCGGCATCGATATCTCTGACTCTCCGATCGTCTCCAAGGATGATGTCCTGGAATCAAAAACATTTTAAATTTGGATTTTTTTTTCAGATACAAACCATCAGTTCGGTGGGTGAGATGAACTTCTTGCAGGAACCGTTGGGGCATTCAATGAGAAGCACTGAATCGTTGACGGAGGAGTTGATGCACTGACTGAGACAAGTTCTGCAGAAGACGTGACCACAGTGGAGGCGATAAAAATTTGTGGATCGGGCGAATTCAGATACTGTGCATGTGCACTTGTACTCCTTTTGCATCTCTGAAAAATTTCACATTTGAAGATATTGGACGTTTCAGAACCCCCCGATTTAGAACAACGACATTGAAGAACCCAACGTTTCAGAACTCGAGATTTCAAAAATTTTCTGCATTTTTTCCCAGTGGTTTTTGCACAACGAATGAGCAATACTCCTGTGGTAAAAGTGCAGAAAAGTTCTGAAATGTCAGGTTCTGAAACATCCAAGAGCCTTGATATTACTAGTAATGAAACAAATAAATACCTTCTAGTTCTTGGTTTCCTTCGATATCTCTATCGAAAACCGCTGCGCTGAGCTCCGTCAAGCCTTCGATAAGCTTTTCGTAAGCTTCGATGGTTCCTTCGAAGCTCAAAATCTCCGTGTGATCCGTCAACTTGTTGAGATCCAGAGACCTTCTCAATTGCTCGATTACATCGCGATTCAAATAGTTTCTCACACGATCATTGAAATGCGGAAAGTGGACTGGAATAGTAGCTTCGATGACAATGCTTGACTTATTCCTCGAGTAGCTCTTCAGATCTTCCAACGCATCCTCTGCAGCCAATCCCCATAAACGAATCTTTTGGGAGAACTGATCGATATCAATCACCACGTTTCCATCGTACTTCCTTGGCAGACTTCTCACATAGTTCTCTCCAACACCGAAAAAGAACTGGGCATTCTCATCTGGAGGACACTGCGGAATTGACACAAGCTCCAGTGGGGCTATGGCTTTGAGAAGGTTTCTCGTGAAGAATCGAACTGAACTCGGATTCCATCCTTGAACTTCGAGAACGCCTGCCTTGCTGTCGTTAGACCAATCTTCGCACAGGCGGGCACCGTAATATGACGCTTCTGAATTCTCCATCATCACATCTTCATTTTTTGCAAGAGCCGGGAAAGTGAGTCGAGTGTCTCGATCAACTGTTCGGATTGCTCGCCGGAGAGCGTATCGCATTGCTCGGCTCATGGTGATCGACATCCGATAACAGGGGATGATCTTTGGCTGGAAATTTCGATTGATATAAAGTTTTACTGATTATTGAGCTGATATAAAAAAAATTAGAGCTGTGAATCGAGAAGCCCTCCCACAACTACCGTAACCTTATTTAATTGCTATGTTCCGGAGTGGATAGTTAAAAAATCAACTGAAAGGGCAAATAATGAAAACATTCTCAGGTTACGGTAGTTGTGGCTGTGGGACCTTCGGCGACGGTCACAGCTACGTTTTTTTGTACCAGACTAATATCAACTAACCCCTTTCCTATCCGTGTCGTCAGTCGAGAAGAGCGCTGTTCTGGAAGCTTCGTCGAGGATGTGTCCAATGAATCGCAATCCGATTGGAATAGTTCGGAAATGTACCGTATACGTTTCCACGTACTGCATTGGTCCTCGGTTGTTTCGGAAAATCTTCCAAGGCACATCTGGCCTCTCTTTCACCAGCTTCAACATATACTGGGCGCCGACGCCTCCATGCAATCCCGACGACCACTCCTCGGGAATCGGATGGTAGATCTTATTGCAGTGTCCAATTCGATAAATTTCCTGCTCGATGCAAGCGTCGAGCCTCTTGTTCCTGGCTTCGCGAAACTTCTTCTCGGCGTCAGGAAGAATTTCAATGAATGGCTCGATGGAGGCGATGAGGAATCTGTTGTTTTTTCGAATTCTTTCCACCAACCATTTCTGTGACTCAAATGTGGAGAGATGCGCAGGGAATCCACAGAGAATGATCTGGAAAATGATTGATAAAAATTGAGATTATTAAAAGTGGTTTTCTTCGAAATTTTTAATTGGTTCTGTGCAGAAAATCATGTAGATTTCCGAAAAATTTGAAAACTCACCTTTGTATGATCCCGATCATATCTCAGCTCCGGCTCTTCGACTCCTCTATCATTGAAATAGCGACAAATCAGAGAGTGGGCTCTGAACGCTTCTTCAGCGACAACCTTGTCACATTCAGCCGACAGTGTCACTTCCACCAATTCACCGTGTTTTGCCTCCATAGAGTAGGCGACGTACAGATGGATTTGCTCCATGATCTCCTTATAGTTGAACATCGATTCACAGAACAACACATCAAGGAACTCGAACTGATTCTGCCTCACAGCCATATTCCGATCCTCCACACTATAGAACTGTAGAATTCTCAACGGACGGTTTTGGAAATTGAAGAGCTCGGTTTGCTTCTCAAGCCACTGCTTCTCTGGTTCCGAGAGGCGACGAGTAAAACGAAGAGAGCAACCCAAACGATCCTGGTAGAACTTCTCTCCAGTGAATGATTGGTCTCTTCTGCTCTCTTCCAAATATTCCGAATCAAAGACAAGAGCGATCGTGGAGTCGCTGGCGGTCCGGACGAGTTTCGGCGTTTCTCCGTAGTTGTAGAGCATGCTGTATCCCGCGTTCGGAGCTGCTATCATCTCGCTCTTGTGGTTGAAGTTTCTCAGCCTCAGAAACCTCTCGACGGCGGCATCGTCGTCCTGTTGATTCCCAAAACTCTGCATTACCAAATAAGCCAAAGCATTATTTGGGTTTACGAGGACAAGAATTTGTCGTCCAAGCATGCTTTGTCGATCTCGAGCTTGGAGGATATTCTTCGGTCCCAGTGGATAAAATACGGCCGTTTTGATCCGCGGCATGGTTGCCTCAGAAAGAATCTGCCGCTTCACTCCATTCAAGGTTCTCTCAAACCAAGCTTCATCGATTCTGCGTTCTCTACCAACTTCACAAACAAAGCTCTCCGCGTGGTTGCCGCGAACTTGACGAATCTTGTCGAGCTTCCTCGTCCTGAGCTCTCTTCCGGATATGCCAACGTCTTGAAGGCCAAACGGCCACGGCTCCGGGTACCTCAAACTCACTGAAGTCTCCGTTGGACAGCAGTTTCTGTGCCTCTGCCGTTGATCGAATTGAGCTCTGGCTCGGGCTTCTGGAGAGAGATCGACGCTAGCTGAAAATTTGGTTTTTTTACATACCGTAGAAATTGAGATACCATAAAACCTCTAATAGAAGGGCCCACTGAATTACAATTTTGAGTAATTTTATCGCGAGACCTGTTGAAGATATTAGGAAGTTGTCCACTGATAAATTGTTTGCCATAATATAATATACATTTTAACAGTTGACACATTTCTGACATCTAGTATGGAAGCCGAGGTAATTGAGTTCAAACTCGATAGGGGGTCCTTGTATTAAAAGTTTACGGTATTCTATTTTTCAGAATTAAAACTTACTCATGTCCACCGAGGGACCCGTGTACCAATCTGAATTGGAACTAGAAGCCTCCACCACATAATTTAGATGATGTGCTGGGACGGCAGTTTCCTTTCTTCTACTTCTTGGAGCCATTTTGATATGTTCTGAAATGAAATCTTTTTAGGAATGGTGTATTAAAATAAAAAAAGAAATAGAGAAGAAAATGGAGAGAGAGAGAGAGAGAGAGAATAGACTATTTTCAGCTGAAAATGGGTGTTTTAGGCTTGGAAAAGGGTCATTTTCGAAAAAAAATAGGCTAATTTGAGCTGGAAATAAGCTTTTCAGGCTTGAATTAGGACTATTTCCGCGATTTATTTTGAGCAATTTAAGACCATTTTTCGTAGATTTCAGAGCAATTTATACCAATTTCTTGAACAATAATTGGCTGTTTTAAGCTGAAAATCTTTTCTAGGTCAAAATTAGCTCTTTCTGAGAGATTTCGACCAGATTGTTTCCACTAAGTAGGCGGATGATAAGAATGTCGAAGGAGATGAAACGGAAGGAAAGGATGCCGACGGATACGTTGCGCAGCGCATAATATGATAAAATCAATGCGGAAACATGCTCTTGGAAAAACGCGTCTTCACCTAGTAAGGGTGAGAAACGCGGGAAAAAAATGAATAAAGTCAATGGGGAAAGTGAAGAAGGGAAGGGTTATTGCAACACAGTAGGTGATAAACAAAAAACGAGCGAACAAGAAACAAAGTGTTATCAATCCAACTGGGCGAATGTAGATGAGCTAACTCTCTGTCTGTCTCTCACTGTCTTTCTAGCCTGGGAGACCACACGTACGAAAATGATAGCCGGAAAGTCAGACGGAAATAAGAAGAGCAAAGCTTGTCTTTCAGAAAAAGTAAAGAAAATAGCTATTTGAAACATTTAGGTGTGAACTTCAAAGCTTCGAACAATCAAGAAGCGAGACGAATTTCGAAAATATTCGGTGCAATGAGCGCGCGAAACTTTGCCGCGCTCTCTCTCTCGGTTTTTAAAAATTCGTCCTATTTTATTAAAAAGCCTGCCAATGGCAGGTGAAACGGAAATCTCGATAAATAATCCGTGTTAATTCGTGTTATAGAGAAGACTACAAAGATCAGATTTCCAATCAGAACTACAATATTTAGCAATCAAACTGCAGTCTTCGAGACTTGAATAAGGATTTGAATTCAAAAACAGCGCCATATGGGTGTTTGCGTACTAGGCTCACTCCTGCTCATAGAAAGTGACATTTATATATTGTTTTCAATGTGAAAATCGACACAAACGGAAAAAAAGAAGAAGAAACGATGAAAATTAAGATGACACAATTCCAGGAAATATGAAACGCCGTGCAGCAAGCAACGACTTCTGACACAAAAAATAATGCAAAATTATAATTTTTATGAAAAAGGATAACAATAAAAACTGAATATTACACACTAATCTAACATCAAAAATATCAAGATCTCGGCACTCTTTTCTCATCTACGAACTTCTTGACTTTCTGATAAACTGAACATTTCTCGACGTCTTCTGGAGGTGTCTTCTTATTTGAAAGGTAGTAAAAAAGGTCCCATTCCATGTGCTCTCCATTGATAAGTTTATCATAAGCTTTCAGCTCGGGTTCGCTCATTTTCTTCAGGTTCTCCTCTGCAAAATTGCCAAGTAGAATGTCGTTTTCCAGGATTCCTCGCTTTTTGCTCTGATATAGAAGGCGTGCTCTATAAATATCAGAGCTCGAATCTTCCCAAAGTTTTCTGAATCACCTTTTAGCATCCAACTGCTCTCCGGGAACCTCTGCTCGTGTCAAACTCCGCGCAATCTGAGTGGCGCTCAAAAATCGGCGAGTAATCGGGCCCAGAAGAGTTGTCATTGTCCTGAAACATGTCATTTATTTTTCTGCTGTTTAGATCAATATTTTATGTTAGCTTTCACAAGGAAAAAACGGAGACAGGTGGCAATTATTGCGACAACGATGGGTTCCCAGCTCTAAAAATTAATCGCAACGATGCTCCGAAATGACGGGCGCGCGCGGTGTTTAGCGCAATTAAAAACCCAATTTTTTTTCTTCGATTTTCGTTTCTTTTGCGACTTCTTTTAGAGTTATAAACCAAGATTTGAATAAATAAAGTTTAAAAAATTTTTTCAGTATAATTTTTTACAGAAATGGGATGGGTGCCCGATGAGTGGAGCATAGACCACGACACCTTGATCGATGCAGGGGGTTATGTGCAAAAACTGAAGTTATACCCGTATTTCGACGCTGCACATTACATTTTAGTAAGTCTAGAGTGACATATGGAACGAATAAAATCTCATAGATTTTTTGAAGTAGTTGAAATCGGCTGAAAGTTTTTCATAAACGGAAAATTAAGTATTTATAATAAAATCAATCCCAATGTTCCAGACATGTATATCAGTTCGCCAGGATCTTGGCATCGAAGGCATATCATTTTCCCGGAAACATCCATTCTCCTGCTGGCTATCCTGCATGCTCATGTCGTTCGCCGGCAGTTTCCTCTCGTGCTTCCTGCTCGGCGAGCCCATTATCTCCCCCCTCAAACAGCATAACGACGTGATTCTCGGCTCAATCGTCTGGTATCTCATATTTTATTCTCCATTCGACATAGTCTTTAAACTCGCGAACTGGTTTCCTGTTAAAATCGTTCTATCAGTTTTGAAAGAAATCCAAAGAACTCATAAGATCGCAGCAGGCGTAAAACATGCCGGACGGATTTATCCAGAGTCTTATCTTGTGCAAATTCTCGTTGGAGTTGCAAAAGGAGCCGGGTCCGGAGTCGTCAAGATCGTGGAGCAACTAGCGAGAGGTACTTGGATTCCAACAAATCATGAAATTCTCCGCCCATCGTTTACCACAAAAGCCTGTGTTATCGCATCACTGGTGTTCACTCTAGAACGTCACAGTATGTATGTAACAGCTCCTCATGACCTAGTTTATCTGGTAAGACTGAAAGAAAGATGTTTTTTCACTGATATTTGGGTTTTTTCAGTGTGTTGTTGGCTTCTTCATCTACTTCAAACTGGCATCGTTGTGTCTCGCCGTTCACGATGTGCTTATGCCGATTGAAAACGTTCTTTGTGCAGTTTTTATGGGTGGAATTATTGATGCATTTGCCAAGTATGTTTTCAGTAGAGTTTAGTGAAGAAAAAATTCAAAGAAAAAGAAAATCCATTTCAGTCCATTTCTGGAAACCTCTGAAATGTTCTTGAATTTTTTTTTGAATTCCCACCAAAACTGAAAACTCCGAAAAATGAGCGGCTTTTTGCGATTTTTGGGGTCTAGAATAGGCTTTTTCGAATCCAAAACGACTTTTTTTTTGAAATTTTTGATGCTGAACTCGCAAATACTTTCGAGAAAAAAAAGGATTTTTTTTTCGATTTTCCGCAAAAAATGTTTAGAGCTTTTTAGGCTTTTCAGCTATTTTTAAAAGTTCTTTCCCGATTTTCCCGAACTTTTCGCCTGAAATTTGACAAGATGCTGTTCGCGAAGATTACTGTAGATTATTGTAGAACCCCTTATATTTTGTAGTTATTTTTCTGCAAACACCATCACGTCAAAATGCAGACAAATGTGGTTGCAAAAAACTACAAAATGGAAAGTTTTCTACAGTAATCTACAGTAATCTTCGTCAAGAGAGTACACCAACTGGGAGGAAAACAAAAAGTGGGAAGAACCATCTGGGAGGAAAAATGGGCGGAGCCTAATTTGCAACCCTGGCACGGTTTTGCCGCATGGTTTATTTTTACCA